CATTCCTTGGCTGACTTAGCCATACTTGTAAAAAATCTGTGATGCAATTCAAAGAGTATGGATCTGGCCACATTGCTTTATGCTGCAGCAGCACCCGTAACAGTGCTTGAAACATGACTCACGCAGTAATAGGCAATGCCAAGGTTTTCTAAACGCACATTTGCAGGAAGGTTCCTAAACTATCCTCGGGCAAACACTCAGCCCGATTTCCCAAAATGCCACACGTTTTCACAGTTCCCAGTGCAGTCAGAAGGGGCAGCAAAACGCTCAGCATGTTTGAATAACATCTTTGGGATTTCCTGATAGAAATAAGCTCCAGCTTCTGCACACTGATGGTCTGGAAAGCATCACAGCTCCTACACACACAGACCATACAGCCGACTACCTCATGCACAGTGTCCTGAGGCACCAAGAAGTGCTGAATTTCCCCCCTCTGCCACCCTGGCTGCATGCAGCAGCTCGGCTACACCCCAGATGCACCGAATTCCCTGTGCTTGAGCTGTGCAGCTGATCTGCAGATGCTCAGCAGGTATTTTCTGGGGATGTAGCAGCCCAGAGTGACTCCTCCATCTGATCCGCTGTGCATTCAGCAGCCCTGCACAAACGGCCAACACCTGACAACTTCACCAGGAAAGAGCATGTATCCAGGGAAACGTGGGGCACAAATGCAGTCCATTCCGAGGGGACCGAGAAAGTGATCTGCAGCCACAACTGCGAATGTGCCTGAATCCAAACCACAGCTAGAATCAACCCCTATTGTGATTCTACAGTTTATTTTCTTTAAAAGTTTAAAACAAGTTAACAACAGACCATTCCCACAGTAATTCAGATTTACGAGTTGTGCCAACTACAACAGCAGATGAGCAAGATACCAAATTTTTGGCCCATCATGGTGGACAGACTTCCAGTAATCTCTTCACTCCAGTGATGCCAAATGTCTTTTGAAAAAGATTTTATCCTAACTTTATGCTAATGTCATGCTAATTGCTAAGACTTCAGTCAGCTGAAACACTTCCTTCAGCTTATTTGTTACTAGTCGCAACAGGATTTTTGCAACAAGCTGCCATGTCAGTTGTCCCTGCACACACATTGTTATTCTCTGAAAAGCATGCATGGTTTTAAAAACCTAAAAGCAAATGCTCTTTCATTTCAGTATGGAAAGAGCTTAACATCCCAAAGGCTCTCCTTTGTCCTAACTAGACGAGCTAAATCAGAATTCTTCTGCACATAACTCTATTTCAGGTCACTAAGTGAGCTACAAACAGCTGCTCAGAAATAGACTTGTCACAGAAATCTCCCCAGCCAACCAGGACAGCTGTAAAAGAGGTGTAGGTCCTATCACAGCCTCAGTACTGCTGTGCTGCTGGTGGGATGCAGCGTGGGTATGAAACACAAGTTTTACTTGCCTGTTTAAGCTTCCGTGGCCTTGACAGGTAACAATTTAGGGCTGAGTGTGCGTGCTGTAAACCGGAATATCATCTCCTGCGGAAATAATGGCAGCTAAAGGATGCACGTTACTTACGTCTGTATTCAGCTCCAAGTCTCAACATCAGGCGAATGGGGAACACTTTGGCCCAGGGAGTCTCCCATTTCTGAATGAGGATGCCAAACAAGTAGGGTGGGGTTGGGAGCACCAGGTCTTGCAGGGACTGATACGTAGCTGCAACGTACAAGAACCCTCCATGTTCTTTGCTTCCAAGGAAGCTCTGGCTGAAAAAGGAGTGTCCCAGGTTGCCAACAACATTACCTATGAACAAAAAATGTGCATTACTTCACCAGTTTGAGGACTGTATCAAGACTTTAAGGAGTTTTCAGAAGGGAAAGAAAAAAATCCACATTAAACTCATTTTGCTTCCTGAAGCATTGATGTCTGTTAATCACGCAAGAACCGATGATTTGCTGCACAGAGGGGCTCACGTTACCTCCTGTGCAGACGTGTGTAATCTACGATGGAGAAACTGCTGTAGACTAGAGCCACCAGAGCCACGGTGCCCCTGGCTGATCCACCTTTAGTGACACAAGTGCTCAGTGACTATCGCTGGTAGGAAGTCAGGTTTGTAGGAACCCTTCATTTCTGCATCTGACTGACTAAGCCATGCCTGCAAGAGTTACCAGGACAGCACAGACAACCCCAGAGCTACCATCGCTACTGGGGAAGCAGGGAGGGAGGCTAGCCCAATCATTTCTGTCATCGAACTGCCTGTTTCACATAGTAACAGCAGTGTAACGGAGAGGATGACGCATCCTGGGAACAGCCAGGGAGGACGAAGGATAGCTCAGGCCAGCACTGCTGCCGGGGAAGTGATACCTGCAACCTCCCTCTAGCATTACCAAAGCACCCAAAGAAAGCCTGTTCAGCGTCTTCCAGATATTCAAGGGGTTCCCACTGCAGAAGCTGCAGATGACTGAACAAAACTTTTAGGACCCAGCTGCAATTAAAGGAGAGATGTGCATCTGGTCAACTGATGGATGCCCACTGTTTGTCCTCCCACTGAGGCAAACCACGGGGGTGCCTGGTCAGACACGTACCGAAGATCTGGGTCGTTTTAAGAATTACACAAGAGAGTGTTTATCTCATTAGTATACTCAATGTAAAATGCAACTGAAAGAGACATGGGGGAGAAACATCACTAATTCTTACTCACATTTTTACTCTTTGATGCTCCTAATTTCTAAAAATGTTTACACTGCATTGGCTGAATGAATCTGAATGTTGATTAGATTATTATAGCATCCAAGACAGCATTAAACATTAAAGCAAAGAACCATGGTGTGATTCCTTTTATCAAAGGACAACAACAGCATGCAAATAATGTACAGAACAGCTGATCATAATCCTTTACAGGAAGAAGTCAGTACTAATAGCGCCGATTTGTTCTCAAAGAAGAACACAAGTAACTCCAGAGAGCACAGTATGGTTGATCACACCACTCATGAGGAATCACATGAGTTTGAGGTACTCGTGCAGACTTCCCGAGTTGCAGCAATTCCAGGCTTTCCCACCTGCAGACAGAGTCTAGGTAGGAGTTTCTGCTGCTTCTCCATCACCTCACAACGGAGTGTTTGTATTTAAACTCAAGGCAGTGACATATATCCAATATGCACATCAACTTGACAGTAACTGGAGTGTTTCTCCCTTTCATGTACAAGAGACACACACAGACACACAAACACTGGCTTTAGGGAAAGCGAAAACAAGAGCCACAGAAGTACAACTCTGACATCCTCAGTAACACAAGTATGATCTTCAAGTCAAGCCTTCTCTATTTTCATACTGCAAAACAGCCTAAAAGTCTTACACAAGCATTTACAAATGCCAGAAAAATAAATACAGTAGGTACAGCTTTGGTCAGCAAAGGAAAGGTTAACCAATGAATCCTTTCAAGCCTGCCCTTTACAGTCAACCCCTATGAAAGACCCAAGTGATAGCGACTCTCCATGAAGCCAGCACTGGCACGAGAATAAGGCGGCTATTGCTGCCCTTGCTCTGGAGATGTGGCAGTGCCACTTGCAGCCCTCCAGGCCACCTTGGCACAATCACCACTGAGAACTGCTTCCTTCACGTGACCTTGGGACCTGCAGCTTTAAAAATACAGCTACTGGCAGGTCTGTAAACAAAAGGCTACTTTTGTACTCCGACTAACAAATACAGTCAAGGATTTCCTTGCTATTCACATCTGTGGGCATCTCAGAGGAATTTTAGTCTTTGCTGCTGTACGCACAAGGTGCTGCACAAACCAAGCTCTCAAGTTCTCTGTTAAAAGGCGAGAGGCTTCGGCAGCCCAGGCGTCCCATGGCAGGGTGCTGCCCACACGTAGCTTGCCCCTGTCCTGTGAAGCCAGTTTGTAACTTCACAGCTACACTCGAGCCAGAGCTGACACCATCAACCCAGATCAAATCCCAGAACTGTTCCAGTGGCTATGACTTGTGTGATGCTCAGCTGAGCATACTTGATGAAAAGCAGCTACTGAAGGACTAACATGATTAACAGAGCCACATCAAATGTTGTCAGCTGCTCAGAATCATCGATCCTGCCCATGTGCACTTCTCTGTCAGCCTGTGTTCTGACACTATTGCCTGCTCAGTGAATACGCTGCTAAAGCACCAACTCAGGCATCTTGCTGGTGATCCAATGTATCAACTGGTGCTCCCGAAAAAGATTTTCTCTTATCTAAAATAGCTGCTAGCATCTTTCTATTTCAACTCCACTCGTTTGCTTTTGCAGCTCCAACCTACCCTCACTAATCCCCTCTTCTTCATTTATACTTCCTTTTCCCCTTCCCATCTGTTCTTACCCAAACAGAAGCTACAGGCCTGATATTAAAATTGCTTAGTGAGCTTCACAGTTCCAAGAACATGACCATAATAATCCTTTCTAACTTTAAAATGTATGAAGCGTATGAACTGCTACACCTAATTGAGTTCTGCACCCTCTGAAGTATTTTCTGTGTGAAAAAGGCTAGGCAAAGTGAAGCTGTACAACACCGTGCACTCCCAAGACGCGTGGCACTGCCCACTGGGATGACAAAGCAATCAGACATTTCCACCTGCCACTGACGCCAAGTGCTGCAGCAGAAGGGGATGACTACTTATTTTTTCCATTTCAGGAGATGGAGCTTCAAGGCTCACACACTTTGGATGCCTTAACAATAAATTTGTCGGCCAACAGAAACATGAAAAAGCCCTTCTGAGTGGAATCCGCAACTCAGCTGTTCAGCATTTTGCTGCCATAAGCCACAGCATTTTAAATTACTCCTTTTGACACAAGCAGCTTGTGCAGTGCAAGCTCCAATCAGTCACCACTATTAAGAGGCCAAACTATTGGGATTAGGTGGTTGTGCTGCAATTCATTATTTGTAAGAGCAGGCAAGAGACTGCTATGTGGAGAGCATGGGAAGAATCAAGCGTCTTCCTATACACCTAAGTGCCTTTTTCAACCAGCAAACCCAAGTCCCAAAGCCTCTTGGGGCTTGCCCACAAACATTTCTGCACTGACTAGGGGTTGTCAGCCTTTCCTGCCATGTCTTTGAAGGCAGTTCCAAGTAAAGGCCCCATTGATAAGCTGCTGTTACCAGCTTGACATGGTAATTGCTTTGTCACAAAAAACTTCAGAAGAAGCCATCCTTCTCAAAAGCGTGTAATTTAATTTACAAAACATCACAATTTATTTTATAAAGAGGTAATCTCCAAGTGAACAGAATGGTGCCTTTTCTTATATTAAGTCCCAGCACCCGACATCAGACAGTTGACATTATTTAGGAAGTGCCTTAAGTGTGCATGATGCACCTAAAGCAGCCCTGCAGGAGGTCAGTACTTATTCTCTTCTCAATTACGCTGCGTTACCCTTGACTTTAAATCCTAAGCAGTTCTATAAAGTCCTTTAAAACAACAAGCTTTTATCCACTGATGTGACTTTCTCCTCAGTCATGATCCACGCTGTTTTGAATTCTTCACTTTGGTATCTTCCTCTGGTCAACAATGTACTTTGCATATCAGCTTGGCAATCCCTTCTGGACTCTACAATAGTTTATACCAGGAAAGGTAAAGAATACAAAGATTCCTGCTTTTGTTTATTGCCCTCAATATGTGGTGAGGTCACTTAGATGCTTCTACCAAAAACAGTGAGGTTAAATTCCTATTGTATGCCTCATATCTTTTGGACAATCCCAGGTCATAAAGATGGTATTAGCATCCTGAGGGAAGGCACACATGTGTGGCTTGGGAAAGTCAGCCGCATCCGTCTGGCCTCATTCCACTACCACCAACCACCAAGAACTGCCAAGTACCAAACACCATGCCAGCATCCTGAAAAACCCAAGCATCCCAAGTCTGTATCACGAGATGCCAAGCAATATTCACCTGGGAACAATCTTGCCAGATGGATTTTCTTCAAGAGCAAATGAGCACGTGCTCTGTGGAACAGCAACACAAAACCAGTCACTGCCACACCAAGGGCCACAAAGAGACACAGAAGAGACAAGATCGTTACTGTAATTTGATGGCACAACACATCTGTAACAGAAGTCAACGCTGAGAACAAACATATGAAACTCAACATTCAATGTTCTGACCATAACCAGCACCTTTTTATTGAAACACATCAGCAACTGATTTGGAAATAATTTATTCATGTTGACAAGGGACCTAATGCTTCACTTACTATCACTGTGAGCAGCACTTACCAGCATCCCAAACTTCCTCAGACTAGTGTGTGGCAGTCCTCCAGGCAATCACTCACACACATTATACGACATTTGGTTTTGTATCCATCCTTCCCCAGTTCAGTGGCAGGGGCGCATTATTCACTCAGTAAACCTGTCCTCTGTTCAGAACATCTACATGGGCTTCTTTCTAGATCTAGTCTGTATTAGCTACCACCTTATTTAATTAAAACCAGGCTGGGTACAAAATACACAAAACTGAGACTGGGACAGATCCACCCTCACCCAGAACATCCCCAAACCCGGGGCAGTGATCACAAAGCCATTTCAAGCAGTTGCCAGATTTGCATTTGCACTACAAAAGTAACGATAGCGTTTATTGTATTCCACCAAAGAGTTGATGTACTAGAGCATATCTGGCAGCTCTATATTAACACATCCAACTGCTTCAAAGAGCCCATTCAGATGGACAGAAGTTCTCATTTTTCCATTCACGAGACCTCCTGCCAGGCTTACAGCCAACAGACGAGGATAATCATGGGATTACTACTACAACAGTACGACTACTACAACCACAGCAGAAATCATTACCTTTCAATTTCAAAACAAGAAAAGCAACACAGCAGGGAACTTGATGACAGAGGGGTCAGATGAAAAATAAAGTGATGGAAACTGAACTGCAGTTACTTGACTTCATTAACAACTTTACAATTTATTGTAACTTACATGCATACAACCTACAGAGAAAAATGCATTGTTTTCCTTCAAAACCTCCCTGTAGTTTTACAACTATAAAGTCCTAACACCAGACCATAGCTTGAGCTTGAGGACTTGCCCTAAGAAAACTAATGAAGATTCAGGGCAGTGCTGCACCAACAGAAATCTTCTCCGTGCTGAAACAGGGGGCGAATCTGAAGGACGAACTGCACAGCCTGCGTGCTCCTCCTGCAGTCTGAGGCCTGGGCTCTGCTGCCACTACTTGCACATGGAACCCTTCTCTGCGGACGGCACAAAGCAGCACCTAGCACAGCAGACAGGACTCGGCCTCAAGAAACAAGGAAAGCAGAAACGTCTGGGAACAGGCATGAGTACATGTCAGCTTGTGCTTCTAGGTTTGAACGCGGGACTCAAACTCAAGCAAGAAGGGCTAGTAAATAAATGCAACTCATGAAAATAAAAATTGCTACAGATATGAGCTTTACTTAAATAAACCAAAAGGAAATGCTGTATTTTTCAGCTGCAAACAAAACCAACCAGAAAACCCCAAATCACTCCAAAACAATATTAACACCACTAAACGTAACTCTTCTGTCCAGTCCGATAAAAAAATACAGTATGTCTTTCTATTTTATGACTGTTTTTAAGAAAATATTTAGTAAAGGGGATAAATAAAAATCATCCACAGAATTTATTTCCACTTCCTGATGGCAAAATAAGTTTAAACCAATATATGACATAACAAAAAAATGGAAGTGTGAGGCAGAGTTTTAAACAGTCTCTAACTTTTAACGGGAATTCTCACGTACTCTGAATGTCTATCATCCCATTGCCAGGAGAGGTGCAGTACCTCCGAAATGAACAGCTTTGGAAGCGTGGCTCCAGCTACAACAGCATGCAAGCTGCTAACCACATCCAAGGGATTACAACCACCAACCCGAAACCCCTACAGCATCATATCCCGTCTCTCTGGCTGAATGATGTTTAAAACAGCCAGAGCTGCAAATATGCTCATATATACTCTCAAATACACATGACCTGGAAAGGAAAAAAGGATGGATATTGAGAGAGCGCATGACAAAATGCTATGGGAATTTATCAAGGTGCCATGTTCTACAAAAACTTCAGTGCAGACTGGTATTGTATAGCAACTCAGGGTGTCCTTGTACTTCTACTACACTGGGCAAATACAGCACAGGGCAAATCCTACCAAAAGAACATTGCAGAGTGGAGTCTTTAAACAGCAAATTTGGTTTCTGATTAAGAATTGCACAACAGTAAGCAGCTCTCTGCACCAGTGCAACTGTAGGATATCAAATTACTACCACTAGAGCACTAAAACCAGAATTCCAATACATTATGTAGGAGTTTTAAATTATGTATTTCTGTAGTGTAATTATACAGAACTTCCTTGCAATATACACAGCAAGCTGGATTTATATCTGCTATATACATATATATACACACACACACACACACATATATATACACACATACACACAGAGACACTTTCTCATATCTGTCTCCTTCTGAATAACATCATAATCAGAAGATAAAGCACTGCAAATGAAGTGAGGTTTGTAAAGGTGTTTCTAGTGTACACAAGACTCATCACAACATGTGCTAATACCATAACAGTAAGTACCACCTGAACCTGGCAACCTCTCTGGACAAGCTGACCTTTGCCGTATCAAGATATTGTAGGGAACAAAGATCTTTTCCATTATTTTATTGAAGTGTTGGATTCAGTCACTGCAAAGGCATTGCAAATGATATGCAGAGCCCTTCATAAATGTATTTTCAGTATATAAGCTTAATGTGATGCAATTTCACCTCTGGAAAATAAGCTTTATTTCCTAATCAGTGGAACCAAATACCTGCATTCTCCCTTATGCAGTAATTTTTAAATTCTAAGGTCCAACAATAGCTAAAAGTGGAAGCCCATTTACTCAGCAAATGTAAAACGTGTAAAGATTCATCTAATGCAATCTTTCAATTAAAATACTGAAATCTAAATTTCAGGGATAATTTCTGCAATGCCCCACAATTCATTCCAGGCACACATATACATATATATCTGTATTAGTTTAAATAGTAAAACAGTATCTCCATAATAAACAGTAATGTGACAACAGACACTGTGGGAATCAAATTTTAGAACTACCTGGTTCCAGTCTGGGGATATTTAACATACTATCCAGAGATGCTGAAAATTTTCTTTCTGTGTCTTTAAGAGCTACCCTGACTTGAAGCTGAAGAAAAATATTATTAGAAGCAAAGCCATTAGTGTACCCATGAGCCCTGCTGAGCATCCTACTACACTTAACTGCTAAATGAAGTACAGCACTCATTTCAGATATGTCAGCCGTGTTCAAATTCTCACCAGAGCAGCCAGAAGCAGCCAGAGCAGACATTCAGCAATGGATGCTGAACATAACGTTGACACAGGCAGAACCCTGCTCCTTTGCTGTAATGGTCTATGCATGCCTTTTACAGCCCAAACTTCTTTGTTCTGCTGGCACCCGGAGTAAGGCTGGAAGATCTTTGGAGCAGCTCCCCAGGCTACCAGCACCTCATTAATACTTTTATTTGGTGAGGTGAATATAACACTGGATACTAATAACCAATAACAAGTCAGCATCCTACCAGCTGTGATCCTTATTCTCTGTTTACATTCTTTTTATACAAAAATAGCCATTTGCTATATGACAAAAATGTAAGTGACCCAGTAAGACCATGTATTCAAACCACTTTTAACAGAGAACATTCCTACCTGCTAAGGCATCCCGGTAAAGTTGCACAAAATGGTTAAAGATATCCTTAGGCAAACATTTCTCATCAGGCAAACACTGCAAGAGAACGACGATCTCCGACTGCCCCACTGCATGCATGCCTTTTGTGGTGAAACACCAGCACTTCCTGTTCACGTCTGCAGAGAGAAAAATGCGTATCACAACAGAAGATCAAGATTGCATAAAATATGCCTAAATTTCACTACAGGAAGGCAGCTCTTTCAAGAATCAGTTTTACAGCATGTCTGGTTATCTGTCACATAGAGGAATTAGGTTCTAAATCTGTTACCCTGCAAGCAAGTACATCCAAAACAAAAGCAGCTCAATAATTCCCGGTTTACAGCTAAGGAAGAGCCAGAGCATTACAGCTCCAGTCAGATGTTGAGATCAGCGCTACAGAGCAGACTTCTAGCAGTTTCCGTATCCAAATTAAAGGACAGGATCTAAATGAGAATGAAGGAAGGTGGGAAAAGGCCAGGCTGTCGGCTGTGCGTACCACGACCCTGACAGCTAACCCCGTTTCAGGCAGTGGTATCTCCCTCTCTCAAGCTGGATAGCTGGGTGCCAGGTATTTTCTTGAGACGCCACTGTGCTGTTCTGCTTCATACGAATGTTAGCGATGACACATGCTCTAAGCGTCACAATTCGTTTGTTGAGAATACCAAGTTATTAAAATAGAATCTTTAGTCTAATATATACACACATACAAATCAATTTTTATACATGTAAAAAGAATTTCATATATGTAAAAAATTGTACTGCTACCAAACCAGATGCTGAAAGGTTTAGAAACGACGTCTTATTGTACTATATAAACTTTTCACAGAACAAAAACATTTTACTGCAAAACTTCTCAATTCCTCAAATAATGCTTTCTTGTCCAGCAGGGCTCAAAGAGGCTGATATTTGTGTGTCATCTGTATGCCTCCCCATGCATTCCTCCCTCCCTCAGCATATGGACTCACAAAACATGCACACTTATAGGAAAGGACAGAGGAGGTGCATAGTGGAACACAACCTGAGTATTACTGTGAGATCCTGTCTGCTTTTTCCAGAACGGGATGACAGGAAATGAGTTAAGCAACCAAAGAATGAGTGATAAAATACCTTGCCCCAGCAAGCTGGACAGGAGATACTGATCTCCAAACACAAAATGATCCATACTGATGTCTAAAGCACTGGAAAAGAGCCTTTTGTGATTTACCTTAATATGGCTAAGTACACAGTTTTCGATGCATGCGCATTTTCAGAGACTATCCTACCAAATAAAAATGCTGCTATTCCTACTAATAACTTATATAACATTTCCCCTCTCATACCCCAAGCCTTATTTAATAATAAAAACTTACAATTTACTATTTTTACCATGGATAGCAAATTTGCATTTAAAACAAATACAAGAGGGTCAGGGCCACCGTCCTCCAACTGCTGCATGACAGAGATCTGAGAAGGTCTCTCTTCTACAGCATAGTCTATGAAAGAAACAAGCAAACACACAGTGAAGTCCTTAACTTACTGGCACAGTACTCTACATTATAATCAGATAACCCCAATACTGATGCATTTTGCCTTTTTGACCTTTTAAAACAAACTTATTTAAGTATTGCTGCTCTGATTGTTTCCTAAGCTGGTATTTTCAAGCTTCAATAGCATTTATGTCCATAGCCCCTGCATATCCTCCAGAAAAATGCAGCTTGTTTTATAAATCAACTTGATTTTGGTATCAACTGGAGAAGAAAATGGAAATCTGTCCTGGTGTCAACTGAAATCCCAAATGACAAAGAAGTTAACAATTATTACTTGTACCACAGTAAAGCACAAGAGCATCAGTCCTGGACTACAAACACCAAGACGTGGTCTATCCCTATGTCACGTAACTTACGCTGTCTGTGCAGTAGCTACTCAGAAAATAACAAATGGGGGAACACGATATGAAACAACATTTTTAATAAATCACAGGTCTAAATCCAGTGTGAAATAGATCTCAACATGAAACTTCAAAGATGTCTGCAGTGTCCCTCTACGAACAGACCCCAGTGACTAGTCAATTAAAATTTTTCATCCACGTGGTCACAATCTACTCTGCATTTAAGCTTTACCAAAAAATAGTTATACTGATGAAAACAGATTTTGAAAGAAATGCATTACTTCCAGCTAAAATTATCAAGAAAGAAAAGTAATCTTGCTTTCTGATATGAAAAATATTTTTGGAGGCTTTTTAAATAGAATTAGAATATCAGAAGTAAAATGCTACAAAGAAAATCCAGTATGCGACAGCATATGAAGCAAAATCCACTTAGCATACCAAATATGATTTATGTGAGGTTATCTGTTTAAAAGCTGAAAAGGATACTGTAGTTTCGCTCCTTTATTTTGTGTGGAGGAGACTAAATAATCAGGCACCCACGTGAACAGCTAGCGCAGGACGGAACAGATTTGTTTTGAAATTAAATGCTGCTCACACTTTGGTTCTGACAGCATCCTGCAATAAAAGGTTACTTCCAGCCTAATATTAGAAATGCACCGTATCAGCAAAATATTTAATAGGAATTTAAAAAAAAATCAAAGATGAAAAAATAAGTTAATTCCAGGAATGTATTAAAGGATGTCATGAATCATACTGCGGAAAGCAGCTGCCAGATAAACAAACACATGCATTTTTTTGACCTTTTTAAAATTAGTTTTAACTTGTAAAAATTCTCTTCCGTTTAGATACTCTGGGAGGGGACATCGCAATTACTGAAAGCTTCACTGGGGGCCAAGATGTGCAATAGTGAACGCAGTGCTCAGGGATGCCTCAGAGTGGATGTTCCAGGAGAATTTCAGAGAAGGGAAACATGAATATTCATAAGGCTAATTAAAATGTATCTCTGTGTGAAGCACTCCCCACAGTCCGATTAGTGAAGGAATTAGCACATATTTCTGGACTAAAGTTAATTTTCTTTTTTGCTTTGTGTTTTACTTCTTACAGTAATTTCATTGCAAGATGGAGTTCTTCCTGGACGCTAATCGGGATCCATGGCACAAATGAGTGTCACAACATTTAGCCACGAGTACTTACTGTGAATTTCTTCAAATATTCAGCATCTTAGCCAGCATCTTATTTTTCAAATAAACACAGTAACTATTAGGTTAATTGCAACTGGAAAGCATAAAAGCTATCTGCCAAATAAGTTATTTATACCCTCACCTCCTTTTACTCCAGTGGAGATGAGAATTGGAGGAAGACCATCTTCAGGAATTAGATTCATTGCACTGCCAACAGGACTGCCAACCTGAGTTATATTTCCCGAGAACACAGAGGCATTATCAGTCTACAAGAAGCAAACAAGAAGAAAGAACAACATTACAAATGTAGTAATGATATAAAAGTAAGAGCTGGATAACTAGATTACCAGATGCAGGTGAAGGAGCCTGCGTCTGCTGCAGATCCAGAAGCACCAAGTAATACGGCTCTTTAACAACACATGATTATGTGATGACTGCTGTATGCGATCTATTACTGAAAAGCCTGCTTAGAGACTGCATCTCCCTTCTCTAGCACCATACACACCCATTTCTGTATAAAATCTAAGTGTACCTGTGCTCACTGGACCTTTCTGCAAAGTCTCAATTCCACTCACATGGAGTACGGTGGATTTAATATTGTTACATTTAGTCTGCAGTTTCCTGCAGACATCATTTTATGAGAACTGTCAAACCAAGTCTTTTTCTGCTTCATGCTATGACAATCTGACCGTTTCAAACTCCTCCCTGACCATGACTCAGCTTTTTAAAAACATGCACTACACAAATATCCTTCATACATGGGCTGTACAGCCAAGCACTTGAAGCCACCTAGCACGCAGACTTCAACATTGCTTAGTGCTCTGTCCCATAAGAGTTCATTTCAGTTCCAAACATACGGTTGTTTCAGCACTCTGCAAATATTAAAATAAGTGAGGACACTTGCTATACAACATACTAAGACAAGCCTCAACAGATTTCCTACATCAGTCTTACTGAATTCACCAGAGAAGCTAATATCCTATTGACAACCAAAGCGAGCATGGTATTTTGAGTGGCAAATAGTGTAATGCTTCCTTACTTCTGCTGATAAAGTGTTGTTGGTCATGGGCTTTGATGGATCATGAGACACTGCTAAGGTTCCTGTGGAAGTTGTCCCAGCCACTGTCAGTTTTGCTGCATCGGCAACTTCTCCATTGGGTAATATCCCATCAGCAAACCAAACACGCCTTTGTTCTCTAGGTTGAGCCACTAGAGAGAAAAATAAATAGGATTAAAGATCTCACAGCAACACTGACTGGAAAATTTGAACACAGAAAAGTAAAATTGAAAAAGTTAATAAATAGAGAAATGGGGACTGGAAGAGACTAGAGACATCATCTAATGCCTTCCCTACGGCAGCACCATGTATAAACACATCTGCTGAGAACAGTTTACTTGTCCTTAAAAACCTGATATCCCTACTGAGGGCAGGAATACCACAACTGGCATTAGCTAGAGTACTTGGAATGGA